TTTGTTAAAACGCCGTAATATCCAAAAAGAAAACATGTATACTTTCAACAGTTTTATTTACTCTTAACATACCTTGATATCTCTATATCTTCATTCACGAAGACTGAATATCGACCTTTATTCATATAATAAAATTAACTATCAGTAAATATATTCCATAAGTTCATGAAGAAAGTTTGTTTCCCGTTCCGATCACCGATACCATTTGTTACCGAACAGATTCTGATAATAATTATTAAGTAGTTACTAGAGTTGTGGTATCGGAAATTTTGTAGGAGTTCGGGAAGTCTTGTGGATATATTTGGAATATAATGCCTCAAGGTGTAATATCAAAATCATCGATCGTATGAGTAAGTAAAAGTAGCAGAATGTACAAAAATATCAATTCTTCACTGATATAGTTAGAATTGTTATAATTATGAATATAAAATACACAAACTTACAGCGTTATGCAATTATCATGCGATATCAGTGCATGTGATGCTTATATTTTTTAACACTTTACATATTTACAGTTACATAGTATATTATTTTCTTGTGTGTACATAATTACATTGTAAAATTTAATATTTGTACGTATATGCATTTTTCATTGGTATTATGCCATTTTTTTAACGAGGTACGTATAACATAAATTGACGTGCTATGTGAAAAAGCTACATAAGAAGGTATTTTGTCTTATTACATTGTCAAGTTATAATTTTGTATTTCTATGTTGGGTTGTGATATTTGCAAGTAACTCTCTATGGATCATATACCACAACATATGGTTTTCCTGAAGCTTAACTGGTTACTAGAGCAAAATAATATAATGATCAGTTCAATGACACAAACGCTTTTCTTAAGCTTTCGACTCAACTAATAGTACATTAGTAATTGCAAAGTTTCAAAGCAATAAGAATATTCTGAATTTTAGGAAATCTTGTATATGTGGCATTATTTGTTTAAAATTGATAGATCATTATAAGAATAAATACTCAAACATATTCATAATTAAACAATATCATCTTCCGGCAAAATGCAACACTCGATTTTTTTCCTGTAAATAATTGCTTGTTAATGGCTTGTTAAAACTCTGTTTACCATAAAATAAATAGAAAACACATGTATTCAGAGTTCAGTCGATAGCAAAGCTTGTATTGTAAGATACCAAATCCATTCCGATGTAAAAGAGGTTTGATATATATATGATTTATTATGCATTGAAAAAACCATTGCATAGTGCCCTGTGATATGAAATACCCATACCTTCATTGTGTATTTGAATCATGCACCGTTATAAAAGGGACGTTTCGTTAAATGTTTGCACTTTTATTTCTACAAATGTGAACAAACATGTTTATCCTATACAATGAGAGAAAAGCCTTAAAAGCACCGCTGTATATTTTTGTATACTTCTGAACTGTTTCCCGTAACCATTGTACTTTATACATATATTTTACTCAATGCATCGGACAAAAGATTACAATTGTAATGCCATATAAACTCTTATTGACACGCTTGGCAATAACCTTACAGGGTTAACTCGTTTAAATCTTGTGTTAGACTTTTACAAGGTTTCCAACAGTGAATTGCCCGGACTTTCACCAGATATCAGCTTATAAATTGTTATTTTATTCACCAACGCTTGGTCCTAATATTTTTTGAAAGAAACAAAGCCGACTCTGACCTTTTAACATGATATATTTCCCCGATATAATTGTTTAATATTCTGTCGAGTAATAACATAACATACAGAACGCCTCAAAGGCGAAGGCAAACACTAGAACCGTCATTAGCTTTAGCAACAAAATCTTTGTTTGCATATACTAAAAAGTATGCACATATACATATTTTATAAACAAATAGGCAAAATTATCAATGTGCAGTAAAATATCAAAATGAAAAACAAAATATTCACAATTAAAATCACCATGAAACATTATTATTGCGGAACTACTCAAATATTGCAGACTCGTTTCTTTTTTTTTTAAATCATGTCACTGACAAAGTGGTAAATGTATGATAAATTCCATCAACTGTAAAAAGAGTTTGTTTGGTTTTTTTTTTGTCTTTTTTTTTTTTGTGAAATAAAACACGCTATAAAGATTTAACACACGCTACGACTGTCGTAAATAATCGATTAATCGTTTGTTCAAGATAATATGATATGGACAAAACTAATCATTTGTCAATATCAACAACTGATAGGGATCAATGTCGTTCAAATAAAACTGTTTTTATTGTAAACGTTCTAGAAATGTTCTCATGCATATAATTGTTTTATTTTACGCTATATCAAAGCATTCTTTTACGGAAACGTTTAAATTGGCCATTGATTCAAGCGACCTTGACTAAATTCTACCATTAAAAGTACATTATGTCTTTGATTTACTGTAAATAGATTGACATTAATCACACATAACATTTAAAATAAGAAAGCTGTAAAATATCTACATTAAATTAAGATATGAAGGAAAATCATACAATTTAAAACTTTCAAATATCAGGGGTTTCACATCAAACGGGTATTTAATATTATCATATAAATATCATAAAATGATTTATTTTTTTACTAAATGCGTATTTAATCCCAAGTTAATTATGTTGTTTTCAAGTTTTACTCTGTTGAAAAAATATAGTTCGCCCTAAAACAAAAGTACAAAAGGTATACTTTTTCAGATGTTATCTATTCCATAGTTTCCAATTTTACGTGTACCAGATGATATAATTTCAAATTCTATAATTATCATTGGCCAATGTACCCCAGTGGAGTTCCTTCAAGGGGACCTACCCCGATTTATGGCTAAAATGCATGCACACCAGCGTAAAAGCAACCATCAATAAACAACTATTTTTTCTTTGTGGATTATATTCTCTATACCACAAGGATGAAAATAGGGTAACCTATGCATTCAATTGGCATTACTTTTTTATCGTTTTAGTTTGGAAATGACAGAAAGGACCTTCGCACCAACTAAATTGAAAAAATCCTGATGTGCTTATTACCGACCATACGAAGTTAAAAAAGAAATTATAGCCCAAACCAGTATATCATATTTGTTTTATATAATACCAAAAACAAACTTAAAGAAAACAAAATTACTTACGTTAAAATCTCCTTGTGTGTGTGTATTTTTTTAAATAAATATCCTCTTTCAACCATAAAAATATTGCTAATTTTATTTACTGTGAAGTCCCCATTATTCAAGCTGAAAGACGTTTCAACACAATTATATAAAAAAACGACCATTCTCACACGCAAAATTATTTTAAAAAGCGTTTTCTTTTCAGAACGTTAATTGAGCACTTGCAATACTTGAACTCATTAACAAAGCAACCACATTAAATATTCACTACACTAAGAACGTATCTTCTTATAGAAGATTACTTTTTGACTTACATCTCACAGAAGTTCAGAAATGTTTCTTCTCTGAAGAGTTATTACTTATGATTAAGTACTCTCAAGTATTGTGATATCGGAAAACGCGAGGAATTCTCTAAGCATCTTAATGCCAAAATGCCGCTAGGTGTTTCTGTAGAAGACATATGCCGCTGTTGCTGTAGTTTTATGAAAGTGTTTATTTAAACGTCCCATGATTTCTTGCTGAATGAATACATTTGGAATTGTTTTGTAATTTTAATTTTATACTATTTTAATGTGTAACATTATTGATCATTTGTTTCTTAAGTTGGTACTAAGATACGAAAGTGGCGTGTTTTTACATTTCATTGTTGTTCAAGAACATACTTAAACAAAATGTATTTTTTAATATTACCATGCAAGATAGCCTGTAGAGTTTTTAATGAGTGAATATTTTAAGAACGCGATTTTGGAATCATTATGTTTAGGAAACTACTTTGTAATATTAAAACGAATATTTTTACTTGTAATGGATACTGTATCTATACTGTTGAACAATAGTTTATATGTTCTAAAGTTATATAAAACATATTCATCATAAAATGTAACATACGATATACGTTTTACATTAATTTTGTTATAATTAAAATGTTGAACGTCAATTCCACTAGCCTATAAACTAACTAATAATTCATGGAGGCAAGCTGAATCTAGAAAAGTGTAAGTGTATCATTTTCATCATTTATTACCTGACAGAGTTTATGTTACGTAGCATATTTTATACACAGCAATTATTCATGTAGAAAACAACATCATGCTTTGCATTTAATGAATTATAGATAATTTTATAATTGAGTTTTAATATTCTTGAAACGATATGATTAAGAACTCCGTCAATATTTTCTATCAAAAATGATATTAATCTGCAATAGAGATTGGTACAATTACGTCTTAATTTGAGAACAAAAGAAAAAACAACAAACAAACAGAGATACATATCTACCCCCACTCACCGTTTAAGAACTTTTTGATATTCATCATTCAAGTTATTGGAAAACAGAAATCGCTAGGACTGAGATCGATAAAGCATTTTTATTTTCAATTTTTATTTTCAACTGTGTTCAAAACATACATAAATATAAAAAAACAACACATATATGTATGTCAAGATGAATTTGTATCGGGAGAATGGAATTTTAGTTCATCTTAATCTTTGTTAGATATTAATTTAATGATTTGTTTTTTTTTCCTGTTTAATTATTCGTTCAGATATCCGTTTGTTTGGGTTGTTTTTGGTATATAGTTTCACTGTGAATCCAGTCATTGCTTTTAAACTGATGTTAAAAACTTGCAAAAAAGTTTTTTATGTTAATTTTGGGTGAGAACATATGTTAAAAATAACTATCCATTTTAAAATTCGACATGACTGTACTGGATTTATTTTTCTAGATTTGTGTATTGTTTTATGTAGGTCTGGACCAACAACTTTTGTATATTTTTTCCGAATATTCCCTCACCCTGTTCTTCCAGAATAACTTGTTTGTATTGTGTAAAATATCCAAGAAAATTAAAAGCGTTAAAAGTGGGCAAAGAGTTCACTGTGTCAATGTCGAATTTTTATTTAATTCTGAGTATATTCCTTTATCACCCGCTTAAGGTCTGAGCCCCATAATGGTCAATATTGCAATTTGAAAAAAATTCATGCTAGTTCTTTTCTATATCAGGTAAGACACTTACACATGAAATAATAAAAACTTTCACCGTTTATTAAGGTAGTAATTGTTATTTTTGTACCCCCACCCATAACCTTCAAAAATCCAACCAACAGTAAATAAATAAAAATTCTTCTTTATTGAAACTGAAAGAAAATTTCATTCATACTGGCCTAATGTCATACAGAATATATTGCTCAACAATACAATACTTCATAAATATTGATTTCATTCAACATATTTGAAAAAAATAAAAAATCATTACCCCACCCACCCCAGCTTTTACCACTCTCAGAAAACTATGAACGTTTTTAAAAAATCGACAAAAAAAATTGAATAAAGTGACAGACCTGAAATTTACCAGAAATTGATATCAATATGTATAAAAGCTTTGTACCAAATTACAAAAAGATTTACCGTCTAGTTTTGAAAAAAAAAAGTTTTCAAATTTATTGTCGCTCACTGGTCGACACATGAAAAATCTGAATAAATTTGTTTATGTAGCAAAAAATCAAAATTTAAACATTACTAGATTGCTTCCATCATAAATTAATGTTTCAAAATAGTAATACATTTAATACCAAATGTTTTAGCTAAACTATTGTGAAAAAACTGCTTTTCAAGGCTCAAAATAGTATTAATAACACTAAAAAATTGAACAATATGAGCCTATATCCCACCCACTAACATTTCACTATTTTTAAAAATAACATTAAGTCATATTCCATCCATACAAAAAATCAGGTCTGACATTTAACAAATAATGCCATCAATGTTATGAAAGTGTTGTAGTAAATAACTCATATATAGTCTAGTTTTGATAAACATGTTTTCCAAATTTATCTAGATTGAGTACACCAAACATGAAAAATAAAAATAATACTTGCAAATACATTACACAATCCAAAAGTATGTAGAGCATGTCTGTAATATACAATCATAATGCATAAGTGTAACACATTATATGTTTTATGTGTTTACCATATTACCCTTTAGAAAATACTGCACATACAAAATGAGCTTTAACAATTTTTTTCAAAGTAAGCTGCAAGTTTAGGCACCACAGACTCTAGAGTCCTCTTTGCGTTGGTTACTCGAGGTTGGCCTTCACTATTTTTTGCAGTAAAAACATTTAACAGTCCATCTTCTCCTTTTCTCCTGAATATTGTTTTTAAGTGTTCAAAGTTCAGACCGGAACTTGCAATATTGTCAGCAGTTGCATTCTTCATCACCCCAGCTGCTATAAGTACTTCGAGAGTTGGAAAATTTTTCTTTTTTTCTTTATTACAGTCCATATTGAATTTAATATCAATCGGTGGAAAACTTTTTACAATCATACAATCATTTTGCGTTGACACCATCAGGGACACAAGCTCCGATAAACATTTTACATCAGCTTCTGCATTATGTGCATTGTAGCCCTTGCACAAAAGATCACGGGCTAGATCCTCTTGTTTGTATGAAGTTCTATTAGGATACACATGTTTGAACACAGGTAATGAATCTACTAACCCTGTGATAGCCGACAAGAAATTTGGTAGCAATCCACAAACTTTATATGCTGCTGTCAATACTATAAAGTCAAATCGCCTTCCATTATGGGCAATAATGTAAATATTGTCAAACGATTCAAGCCATGAAAGAAATTTTTTCAATGCTACATGTAACGGAACTGGCTCCACTGTCACACCATCCACTGCCATCACCTTTTCATTAACCATAATAATTTTGGTAACATTCTCTGCAGCTGATGTGATAGGAATTTTTGGGATAACATACTTGTTGAATGTAGAACCAGTTGACATTTCAACAGCAGCTATCTGGGTGATGTGCGGAATTTGATCTCCCCTTACTGAAACATAAATGATCGTAATTTACTATAAAAATTATGTTCAAAGGTAACAATAACCATTGAATAAAACAAATAAGATCAGTTTTCTATCCAAGTTCACAATACTTCATGTATTCTTTTAAAACATAACAAATACCAAAGAACTAGAAGGTTTTTTGTCAAAAAAAAAATCAAAACAAAAACATATGTCTCCCAATTATGCACTATTAATATGGTTGGTAACAACTATTTTTGTTTCTTTATTGAGAGTTAATTGCAAATTACCCAGCTGCTGTTACCAGTGTTACCTGTGAAATTACCAGTACTTTGTACCTTTCAACTTTTCCACGTAATAACTTATGCCATATCAGGCTATAACTCAGGATCTGTTGATCTAGAGACCTGTGCTCCATCTGATTTGCTAAATTTATAGGTTGAAAAAAAGTCACTTACTTAGATCAGTGGTTTCCAGATCAGCTACAATGTAGGTCGGTGGTCCATGTGGTATAACTTGCTTGAACACTCCACGTGGAATAGGATCAGGTAGTCTTTCAATGTCCACCTCTTGATCATGACCAATGCCTGTCAGCAAACAGTAAATACACATAAATGAAAAGAACAGAGTGTAATAATTACTTTGGTCACAAAAACACTCAATTTATTTCAAGTTTATCAAGCAAGACCTCAATTTACAGTCTGAAATTCATGGAAGGAATAAGTTAAATTTTCCGAACATCCAGTAGCCATTCAATATTAATTGTCATGTGAGGGCAAATATATTTACCAGATTGATATGAGACTCCTTCTAGTGTTTCATGTGCCTGCTGGGTAACCGCTCGCTCTTGTTTCAAGATAAGGCGCCTTTTTTTGTCGATGGCAACTGTGTCACTTCTTGACTATGTTGTCTTTTTTTCTGACATTTGTCAGCATAATCTATAGTATGCTTACCAGGGGAAATACCAGCAACAGTTTTCACCTGTTTGATAAAGAGAAGAATATGTACTATACATGGAAAAGAATTTTCATAAATAAACAAAGTCAACCACGGAACTATATAATATTCGGAACTATACGTGTATTATATTTGTTACATACATCTCTTAGTCAAACGTTTTATTATTTATAAAGATTTTTGACAGGTTATAAGGATGTATATGAGTGGTTATTTGCATATATAATCAATGCAACTTGAAATTAATTTGTAGATATATTCAAGAAAAAATAATTAACATAACTTCTTAAGATAACAGCAGCTGGGTGTACAGATAATATAGATTATAGAACACTATTTATATATAATTACCCAGTGGAAAGACACCAAACGTGTAGTATTATAAGGAAATGTTAACATAAATAATAAGTATTTAATTAAATCCATTTTAACATCACTTACCAAGATTGGACTGTGAAGTGACATTGGTATATGTCTATAAACTGTGCACAGAACAAGAACCAGAAAACTGTAATGAACAAACAGTAATTATAAAAGCTCTCAACAAAGAGCTTCAAAAAAACCCAAAAAACAAACAAACAAAATACAATAATTTAAAATAAAAATAGAACAATAAAAAAAAAACATGAACAAGGAAAACAAATAAAAAAATCCAGAATGAAGTCTCAGAAGACATCAAGTTGATTGCATAATAAATATTTTTAACTGTTTGATTTATGTACAAACACACAAAAAAAAGAACTTCAAAAAAAAGAAGTGTAATATTATAACATTTTTGATGATGTCTGTGTTCATTCAAAGCACTGGAAAACATTTGCAATATCATTCCAACACACTTGTCTTGTTCTAGAGCAGACAAACTTACAAAAACAAGAAATGCGGCTGTTAAAGACAGATTGTTATCTAATATGTGTGACCGCAAAATTTAATTCCACATTTTAACTTATTAAACTTCATAAAAAAAAAAAATGCTTTGTTTGTGTTATATATATTGGATCATTCACCTAGGCAACTCAACTTAAAAGATAACTCAACAGAACTCAAATATAACGAGAAAATCTGTATTGAAAGAAATGTACCTTAGAAATATAATGTCTCCCTTCATTGATGAAGGCAGCTGTTGCCTTGACTCGAAAATCTAATGCCTCTGTGCCACCATAATAAATATTCTTTGGTGCTCGGAGAGTGACTTCTCGATTAGCATGTTCACACTGCTGGCTGGAGCCAAGATCAGCAAACTGACTAGCTTTGAGTATTATTGGCTTCATTATTTCATCAAGCTTTTCACGCAAAACTTCTCCAGTTAAATTTGTTTTATACGGTAAAGAACGGTGAACATACTTTTCATCAGGGGTTCTCAACTGTCCACAAAAGCTGGCTTTGCACAACTGATGGTCACCAAAGTTATGTGGAACTATAGCACATAAATTTTCTTGAAGAGCAACCTCATTACCACTATTTTTTGACAAAGCATATGAAATGCATTTCTGTAAATGAATTATTGTGTTTTTACTTAATTTCACACCTTTTTGAGACTGTAAAGAATACAAACTTTTGCCAATGTTTTTCATAATATGGTTTTTATCAAATCTTTTCTTCAATGAAATGTTCTGATTATTTTTAAGTCTTGCTAGAAGAGTTGTATCTCCATCCCCTTCAATGTATTCTACAGGTGTACCTTCATTAGCAAGCTCTAAGACTCCCTTTTCCCCACTTGTGCTCTCCATCAGCCTCGCGCTTCCGGTATGATTACGTACACATCTGTGTTCTCGGACTTTCTTCCCTGGTCTGTTTCGTCTCCACCATGTGCACGTTGAACACTGCCTATGACTAACTATACCCTTCACAATTTTCTTCCCATAACGAGACTTGCTCATGAAAAAAGTATGGGCTGAAACAACAAAATGTTTGTTGGCACTAATAAATAAGTTGTTCTGAAAATCCTTTTTACTCAGAAAACTAAGCTATACAGGATTATAATAACGGCTAAATGTCTATGTTCTCTACAATGATGATTTCAAATAATTATGTCTCTCAAGAGCTAAGATACCTTTTAATTAGAATAATATTTCTGTTATTAATTATTATATTTCAGTGTTTTTTTTTTCTTTATTCATGATGACTTATCTTACTTGTAGCTGAAAAAAATGCATAAAAAAAATTCCCAATTTAAGTAAAAATAGCGCATTTTTCCCCAATCAGCCTGGTACCAGCACCATTCCCAAAGTAGTGTAAAAAAACGCTGTATTTCATGATAAAGAATGTATCAGTTACTAAGTATTTACAGCTGTACACATTAAGTTACCTGTTTGACTGTCAAATCCACGTTTCTGCCATGCAGTATCCACTGCACAGGACATTCCATATCGCCGCTTGCATGGAAATTTGGGCATTAGCTTCTTCTTAGCCTTCAGTTCAACATCACTAGCATTTCTTGTACGGAATTTTCTTTTATAATGTTTTGCTGGAGTTTCCGAAGCAGGAGAGTCAAAATCCACAGTAGTCCGTTGTATTCTCTCTCTTAAAAGTATCAGAAGAAATATACCTATATGCTTAATAAAATTAATTACATGAAAAACACATGATGGCAAAATTGTACAAAACAAAATTTAACTGCTCTAAAATCAAAATATGTATTATAAATAATTCAACAAAAAATAAATTTTATGATGCAAACAGCCAAAATTAATGGAAAAAAGGCTAGAAAAGGTAACAATTCAAATCAGACTTTCAGTTTATAAATATGGATATCAGTAGAAAAACTGGATACTGCTCAAGCTGGTGCTAGAAAGCGCAAGTTTCATTAAAACTGAACATTTCATAATCTCTTACAAACAGACTCAATCAAACAGAGTTTGCAACTTTCATATAATTTTGCTGTTTTTCAGTTCTTCCGAGATATCTCTCTTTTCCAGATTTTTTTATACTATTCATCATGTACAACTAAATCAATGCATGTTGCACTTAAATACAACATAGAAACTTACTTTAATGATGGTGATGCATCAGGCATTGGACAAACTCCAAGGTCATCTATAAGTCCTTCCATATGTTTAGCTGCCTCTTCTGTTTCTTCATTAGCAATATCACTATAAAAGGAAAATAATATTGAATGTGTAACTTTCATTTATTCCTTGGTAAATATACAATATCTCCTTGGGACTGGGAATTCCCATCTGCACCGGTTACTAGTGTAAGATTCACATGCTCTTAATGAAAATCAACAACATACATTGTATTTATTTCATTATAAAACATGCTGAAATATTATTGGAGTTGAAGATAAAAATGATGATATATAGTGTATACCAATCAGCAAATTTGAATTGAAACTGAATTCTCACCTCATTTCTTTCTTAAATGCATCCTTTGCTGCACTTCTTATTGAATTTTCAGCAACATCTTCGACGAAACTGCCTGACCTCCTTTCAATGTGTTTAAGATTTTTCCTGTGTATTGGCTGGATATTAAGTGTTGACAACAGATTATTCACTTTTCTTGCACCACCAACACTGTCAATCATAGCTGCCAAAAATCGAATATCAACATTCCTGTGTGATATTTTACAGCAATGGCGTGACTAAAGTAAAGGGAGTTAACCTTTAAAATATCAACAGGGTCTAAAAGTAATTTTCCATTTTCCGGTACATACCGTATTCATAATAATTCAGCTAAAGGCGATTTAATTCAGTGCAGCATAAATTGATGCACATTTGAGTTTGACATTACTGACATATTTTCCAAAAATGATATAATGAAAACATGAGGCCTAGACTACCTATTTTCCTATTCGGGTAAGTTTTTGGTCACAGTAAATAATTTACAACCAAAAGATTAGAATTTATTATAGTGTCTGTTGACATAAATAATCCCATAAGAGGTGATTTTAAGAAAATAATATTCATATTCGGTACTTCCATTCATATTCGTGAATATGAATTCATATTCGGTATTTAGTCATACCGCAGCATGAACACTCATAGGCATACTATACATGTTGTTGATCTGTTATACATTAATTCAATAAAATAATAAAATACAATGAAATCAAACAAACTTCCTGACTGCTTACCTATTCCGAGATTTGTGTTCGCTGTAAAGCATGGCATGCCTCTCTTTTTGACCCTGTGAGTTTTGCAGTAAGGTACACGATTGACTTCTCCACAGTCTATATTCTGACACTTGACGTATAGAAAGCCACCCAGTCCTTTCCTAAGCTCACCAACAACACTTCTGTTAGTTAAAGGCACTGGTCCGAGCCTACATACAGAACAACACTTCAAATTGTCCAACAAAAAACCCAGATCTAGTACACGCATTCCAACTCTCCAACCATCGCGTTTCACGTTATTTGGCAGGTCAATATGGATATCAGACTCACAGTAAGGCCGATTACATTCCTGTCCGTTACACATCGTTAACGTATCAGTATAATTGTGGTCAATTTCAAAATAATTACCGTCTACGGACGTTTTCCTACCCAAAATAGTTTTGGAATATCTGCCCCGTTTGTCGCGAGCAGCCATTTTGAACATTCGGATGACGTAATGGTTTCCCACTATCGTGTTATCCGTTGACTGGTAACCAGGAACCAGAAATTATTTACGAAACAAGTCGAGTGGTTACGATGGAGGCTACGGAATAGCACGGGAAATGTCGACAGAACACGATATTACCCGAAGCGTATTATGTGGCTCAGACCTTAAAGGAAATTGCATTTATAATTCTTCACTTGATTCATTTAAGTAATCAAATGCTATGTGTTTAGGCAGGTTGACCTCAGTAACGATCCTTGAATGTTCTAAACAATATCTAATATGCTTAGAAAAATATGGCACGGTCAAGTCATTTATTTATACACACTATCTAGATAAAAACTTTCTGAAATTGAGACGGAATATCGATAATAATCAATAATAATAATTAATCATTTGTTCATGATACTATTTTTTTGACAGCCTAATTATTGATCAATATGGAGTGTTCATTTTAAGATAATAATCACTGAAAACATTGAGATACACCGTTGTTTCATTGTTATAATATTGACAGTTAAATCATTGATTATTAGTGTGTGTTTTTTGTGTGTTTTTTGTGAATTGGTGCACAATGACTTTGAGTCTGTCGACTATTGCAAATAATGTTCTTTTTTCATTATCTAGATCAAATTCGTGAAAAAAACAACAGTTAAAAACATAAATTGCGATAGTCGACATAATACTTGAAAATATAAAATTATATTATATTATAAATAGTGTTTTCAAATTATCTAATCAATTGCAATTATTACAAGACATTTAATTTACTTACGTTGTTAAAAAAAATTCTTAATATCCTAGAGTAATATATATATTATATTAATCCACAATACTTTTTTCATCTCAGTCGACTTTGTTTCATACTTAATGTTAATAATAGAATATATATAATGCAAACACGTATCAATAAAACAATAAATTATCCTCAAAATGTTATAATTTAATTTTTTATATCATTCCTCGATTGGTATTTTCATACAAAACTATGAACATAACTATTGACTTAATTCAAAAAATGAATATTCCTGAATTATATATATAAATAAAAACCTATTGCAGTGATGACTTTTGTTCACAAATGAGGTAAGCACAAGAATGATTGTTAATGATAAATAAGAACAACAAGTTCAATGGTATCGGAAAACATTAGATGCTTCTCCAACAGTATGGGAAACATCGGTTGGTGCCAAACTGCCTCAAGGTATATCAAAATTACATTCCTTAATGTTAAGATCAAAAAGACATTTAGTCATCAAGCAGTACTATTAGCATTCCTGTTGCTTCTAAATTTAACACCTTTCAAAATGCGTTTTGATTTTATACATTTTGTCTGCTCCAAAATAAACATACTGAAGGTAACTGAAAATTGGACATATTACTGACGATAAAACTGCTTTCAATGTAATAAATGTATTACTTGAGATCGAATATATTAATTATAAATATGAAGTGGATTAAAATTATTTTGCTGTATAGGATTTAAGTTAGGAAAGCAATAATAAAGCCCACCTTATAATTTTTAAAATAAAATTATCTTAAAATTTCAAACAGTGCCGTGGATAAATAAACCATAAATATTCTAAATTAAGACACTTTATTGCCCATTCAGACAAGTAAGGAATTTTAATATCAAAATATAAATATTGAGCAACAAACAGTAGATTTCCATATTCGACTAAAAACATACGATTTTGGTATTTAGATAATATTGAAAAAGTAAAACGCTTTTGGTATTTTGGAAAAGTATGAAAAATAGACTTATCTTTCAAAGTGATATTTTGTGAAGCTGATACGCTTAGGTATAGGTACAGTGGTTTATTGGAGTTTTCTAATCATTTAGTCCAATATTATATTATAAGCCTTGCTATTAACCGAATTTAAAATAAAAACAGAAAATTAAGAACAATATTTTACATCAAATAATCAAATATATAATAAAAATTGAATACATGAATAAATTAATCAATTAATTTATTGCATTATGTTAATTTTTATTGTTTAACCTTTACGTGTAATATTTAGATACATTGTACCTTATCGTTTTATAGAACGACATACTCGAAGTAACCATTTAAATAAAATACCTTGCTTTTGTTTTCACTCCATGCGACAACTGCGTATACTCATATCCAACAGCGATACGTGTATATATTTATCATGAAAATACTATCTATTTTTCATCGGGAAATATTCCTGTTTGATAAAGAGAGTGAATACTGAGCTTACTGCTTTTACAACACTAGCCGACTTTTTAGTTTCTGAAGTGTTTCTGATAATAACTAAGTAGTTACAAGTGGTGTGGTATTGGAAATTTGGAGGAGATCTAAAAGGCTTGCAGACAGATTCACAATATACATAATGCCTCAAGGTGTAACAAAAATATCATTTGATCGGAATAAGAAAATACATTAAAATGTTGTAAAGTCAAATCACAATTTGTGTTCAATAACTTTGTCCAAAATTTAGTATAATTATATAACAGTTAAACCTGAATTTATCTATTTATGTTTAATAATATGTTTCTAGGTTAATAATAATTCTGATGAAAGTAGTTTTGTTTCAAAAATGTCAATTATATAGAACTAGCTCCTATGACTTTATATATTATGATTTCTATATTATGAATATACTCAAACAGGAATGAAAAAAAAACAAGTAATTTTATGTTCAAACAAGTATTTTATTAACATCATTGATTGCTAATGCATTAATATTTCCGATTTAGATCAATGTCATAAAACAGGAACAAATAATTCTTGTTAATGTTAAATTTATAAAATTAAGTTTTGATTTGATGCAAATTGCATGGAGAACAAATTTTTTTAAATTTTTTTTTATTGATTTATTTTAATTTCATTTTTATTTATTTTTTCCTTTTTCGTTTATTAAGATTAATTTATGGTTTTCGCTAAATATTTCTTACTTTGCTTTAATTATCATTTTTTGTTATCTTTAATAAAGAATTATTTGCAATTTTTACTTTACAGAGTAAAAAAAAACACAACAATGAAAGCATGCGTGATAGCTTATATCTTTTCAAAATTAACACGGTAAACCTTTATCTTTTATCTTCCTTTATCTTTTATATAATATATATGAATTATTCATAAACCGTATATATTTGTTCATGAATAAATGAGTTTTCTTTTTCAAAAGTACTTTTTGTGTTATAAATATATCATGATAAACGAAATCATGATGGGCAATTTTATTTATTCATTTATTCTTTCATTTATTGAAAATTTACATTACTTTATCAAAATCAAAAACAAGAGAAAAATTACTTACGCCAAAAAAATTGAATGTTCAACTCTTTGATTTATATTATTTCCATCCATACACTTTTGTTCTTCTTTAAGAGTCTATAACTGTTTATATATTTAAAATTTATCCGTCAGAAAGCACACTGCAATGCCATTTATGTACTTAGCATACACAGTGTAAACGTTAACACTTTGTTTTCGCATTCAATTTATTGAACACATCCTATTCAAATAATAAGCAAAACAATTCTCTCAATATTAGCGAGTGTGTATCTCCTTATAAAAAGAGCAGCTTTCTTATTGACTTATATATCTAATACAAGTTCAGAAATGTGCTCGACTCAAGAGTAAATGCTTATGATTGAGAACTGTTCAAGTGGTGTGATATCGGAAAACGTTAGGAATTCTCTAAGCTTCTCGTAAAACATCAGCGAATACCAACACAGAACCACCGTTTTAATGTGTGGCTAAAATATATACTAAAATATATACAGAGTTATTAACATCATTTTTTATCTTTCTTAATGCACACGTTTTGAAACTTTCTATGCTTCTTTGTATATTTTATATCATCTATAAATAACCATCAATATTGCACTATTATACACCAGACAAATACTATCATAAAATAAATATCATAGTTGCAAAAGTAATAATAACATTGATAAGGACATGAAAAATAATTATGAGGACTACTGAGATTTTGTTTAAGATACGGGATATGACCTTTTAAAAGAATTTGTTTAGACAATTAACTTGTTTGAAACATTACCGATCATCATTCACTCGGTCCGTTGTATTTCCAGAAAATACATGGTGGCGAAAATGTCCTACAACTGAAATGAAAATCGTTTAAATGCTTATCATCTGATTTTGGATATAACTAAGAAAAAATAACAACAAATAAAACGATTTTAAACTTATTGTTTGTTTTTTGTTGTTTTCTTTTTGGTCGTTTGTAAAATATTTCTGATTTTTCACGGCCGTATAGATTTTATTTTGAAATTCATCAAAGACTTTTAATAAATCCATAAAAAAACTAATTGATTTTTTAAAGAATAAATTTGTATTTTTAAAATCAAAATTTGCTATTTTTATTTCTTTTACAATGCTTTACATAAATTTTAAGCCTATTTTAGCATTGGGCCGATTGGCCATTTTGTTAGGCCTAAAAACCAAACAAACAAAATTTAAATATTATTTTTCCGTTTGTTTTACCCAAACTGATCTTTTTGATGTATTTTAGGCTTTTGAAGCTGTGGAATTTCCCTTTTTAGTTTAAACCCCTCAACCATTCAACTATAGTTGCGTTTTTAAAATTTTGTTTATTTCCCCGTTTCAAATTTAAAATTTGACTGTTGTAATGCCTAGGGCCTAAAAACCTATCAAAAATAAAAAACGGGATCGGGGAAAAAAAGGCTGGAAAATAAAAAAATTCAATAATTTAAAACATATTTTCCAATTGTTGCAGGGTCCCCTTTTAAATGTTTGCATTTTCTTTTTTTAAATTAATACTAATGAAATTTTATTTGTTTTTTAATTATCTTTTCTTTCGTTACTTAAATTAGTTTTAAAAGACTTTGCCCAAAATCTTGAAAATCTGAAAGCTTCCAGTCGTAAATAAATAACGATAGGTTCAGTTCTGAATGTAACGTAAATTTCTTGAAACAGGAGATATAGATATTTACGCACATTTCTTAAATACTTAATGAATGGCTATTGAAAATTATACCTGATTAAGGTGAACATCAAATGACACGTATAAATGTTATGGTGGCAGTCTTTATGTTATGGTGGCAGTGCTTCCGAGGGATCACTTTGTTTCCAGAATTTTGTACTTCACAACAGCAGGTGTCAAGTGCCGTGTGGCAGCCGTAAAAAGTTGCCCCGTACTTCACTT